AGGATATGTAGTACTGTGTGGAGCTGTAGTGAGCTGTCCAGCAGGGACCAAGCTGTGGAGCTTGCATGCTGTACAGCTCTGTACAGCTCTGTACAGAACATTGTAGTTTACTGATGTGGCGATCCTGTTGCCAGCCATCAGTGTTTATCATTGCGAGTGAGTGAATCATACCTTGTATGTCAATGTCTTGCGGTTTGTGAGTGCCGCTAGCGCTAGCGCTGCATTTGTCTTGATGGCGTCGGGTGTCTTCTCGTTGACAAAGCCATACTCGGCTTCAACGAGTGGTCGCATGAGATTCTTCAAGTCGCTCCGTAAATTAGAACCACGGGAAGTTATCTATCATCGCAATGAGAAGCAAACAAAGGACAGAATTATGAGGGTGACTTACCAACTTGTAGGCATCCTCGTCATACTCTATTTTCACTCCGTTGGCACGGCACGCTGCATTCCATGCCATGGCGGACCAGTCACGACATTCGGTCTCACTTGGGTAGATCGAAGAATTAGTCAAGATACACTGATAGTGGGTGACAGCCAGTTGGACGATAGCAGAGTACAGCCCATCGAAGTCGCTGGATCGAATCCGCCCGCGACTCCCACCATCACCAATCTTTACCTTTTGTACCACCTGGAGGCTGTCTGGTGTCGCCAGAGCTGATGCGGTCCGTTTGACACCTGCTGGGTGTTGGCCATGCTCTTGCAGAAGCGGGCACGTCTGAATTGTGGAACATCTGATCACCTCGGGGTAATGGGGTTGGTGAACTGTAGTGATGGTCGATTGACAAGTCTGAGATGGTGTCAAATCTCCCGGTCCGACTATTATAACGTGTTCCAGGTGGGGGATCTGCTGGACCTCCCCCAGGCGTGGGGGGCAATGCCTATGCCAGTCCAATCACTTTGTCAGTTGCAGCCCAAGCTCGCAAAGTCTCACTTACCTGCTGAACATCGAAGCCTATGCCCTCGTCATTGAGTAGTATGGGGTCAATTTGAGGAGACTGGAGGGGGTGCTTGATGTTGAGCACCGAACGACAGGTGCAACCGTTGTACAGATGGCATCGGGGGTGTGATGTGATGGCTTCGAGCCGTGAGCTTAGGAGCGACCCGCTGAGTTTCTTGTTGACCATACTGGATGGGAGTTTGTGCTGTTGCGGGCATGCTTTTGCCGTTAAGAGGCACTGCACGGAATGAGAACTAAAAATGCACATCAGCCACATCATCTACAAGACGAAAAAGACAAACCGAAGTTGTTTCTGAGTGTCCGTTATTGAGCTCATCACCACTGGCATCACTCTCCTCAGACTCGGGATCCATGCGATTGAAATCGTTAAGCTCCTCAAGGGCTTGCCGCCCACGCAGCGCGAGGGTGGCATACTTTGTTGTCTTCCTCACTTCTTTCCCTTGGGCAGCAGCGTCTGTAAGATGAGACGTCAGCAACGAACCATGAAAACATTGGCCAAAAAATACCCAAAGCCTGTTGTTTGGCTGAACTCCTTCGCACGCGTGATCCGCGCTCTTGAGACTCAGGGCTGGGAAACATTTTGCCCGCCACCATTGGGAGGTACAGGTTGTGGTGCGCTCTGAGGGTGTTTTTTTCGAGCCATGGGATCGAAAGGGAGAGTGGTGGAAGGGTAAATCTGAGTCGTCAAGTGGCCAACGGTGAAAATTTCTTGTACCGGAGGTACACGGGACGAGCTGTCAAGGTTGCACTCCGAAATCAGCGAACAGTGAAACACAATCCCTATAACGCACCTGCAACATCCGTCCAGAACAATCCGCCACCACTCCCTAACCCAACCGAACGGGTAACACTTCATATCCCACACGAACGGGCAACACTTCATATCCCACAGCAACCCACAGAACCTCCACCAGACGAACCTCGCTCCACCAGAACTTTGTACCGGAGGTACACGGGACGAGCTGTCAAGGTTGCACTCCCAAATCAGCGAAAAGTGAAACACAATCACTGAATGACTTACTTGTGTTGCACGCCATGCCTGCCTGCAAGGATTGCGGACACTGGCTTCCTACAGCCTCCGGTTTGAACAAACACTGTTGCTGGTTCGAAAGCTTGCCATCAGAAGTGGCGAGACCGCCTGAAGAACTTTAGTGTTGATGTCTTTGACTTGGGTGGAGGATATTCAGCCACGGCTCCTGATGCAGAAGACTGAGAATGATTCAGATGATGGTGGTATTTATGAGAGTGGAATTGGAGCTTACCAAGAATATGACGCTCCAACGCATGACGTGCCCCTCCAAGTTGATGGCAGCCAGCGAGCTCGTGTTGAAGAAGTGCCAGATGAACCTGGGCCTGTCAGCAATGACACACGATGGATCGAAAGCTATGCTGCTCACCACGGGGCAGGTGCTCCATGCGGAGAAGTCGATGAAGTCACGCCGACCAAATTTGATCAAATTCGACAACAGCTGGAGGCCGATGGTGCACCGTGGGGACCATTTGACAATGAGGAAGAGTGGGAGTTAGCGAAGTGGCTGATCCAAAACGTCGGACAAAATCAAACCGACAAGTTCCTAAAACTACCTATTGTAAGCCTACCAAGCGCCAAACCTAAATTCAAACTGACACTCACCTCTCAGATCCAAAACCGCGCACAAGTGTCTTACCCAAACAACCGCAATTTCCTGAAGAAGATCGATGGTTTGCCAACGAAGGGCCCAGAGTGGCACTGTGACATCATCAGTGTGGTGGGGGACCAAGTCGACACCAACGGAGATATGATGTCTGCTGAATTGGAGCTGTGGCAGGCGCGACCCTGTCGAGTGTGTGCGAGAACTGATGGGGAATCCGACGTTCCGTGAGAAGATGGCATATGCCCCCGAGCGAGCATATGAGGATACTGAAGGTACAAGGAGGATATATGATGAAATGTGGACTGGCTGACTGGTGGTGGGATACTCAAGTGAGTCATTAATAGCGCTACGCAAAATTGAGAGACTTACTTGTGGTCATTGATAGGGCAAGATGCCCGAGGGTGCAACCATTGCACCAGTGATCCTTGCCTCCGATAAAACATCGTTGTCCCAATTCCGAGGAGACAAATCAGCGTGGCCAGTATATTTGACGCTTGGGAACATCGAGAAGGCAACACGAAGGCGCCCAAAACAGCATGCAGCCATTCTGCTCGGGTATCTCCCAGCGGCCAAACTGGACTGCTTCAGCAAGGGCACCCGTTCTGTTGCAGGGTATCAGCTCTTCCATGAATGCATGCGACGCTTGCTTGAACCGCTAATTGCTGCAGGGCATGATGGAGTCGAGATGGTGTGTGCGGACGGGTGCATCCGACGAGTACACCCAATCCTGGCAGCATATGTTGCAGACCACCCCGAACAGTGTTTGGTGGCCTGCACGAAGGAGAGTTTTTGTCCGAAATGCCGGGTCCACAGAGATGACCGAGGCGAACCACTGGCATCGCTTTGTCGAGACCAAGAGCGCACTATGACAATATTAAGACATAAAGAAACGGGGAGACGAGTCGCTGCTTACAGTCGTGAGGGTCTACGCCCAGTCTATCAGCCCTTTTGGGCAGATCTCCCATATTCTGACATCTTCGGGGCCATCACACCAGACATACTCCACCAATTACACAAGGGCGTCTTTCATGACCACCTATTGAAGTGGTGTACTCAGATCGCGGGCGAAGAAGAAATAGACAAACGTTACCGTGCGATGACGAACTACCCAGGTCTCCGTTACTTCACCCAGGGCATCTCTCTCGTCTCACAATGGACTGGGACCGAGCATCGAGAGATGCAGCGTGTGTTCATGGGCGTGTTGGCAGGGGCGGTCCAACCTGCAGTCGCACAAGCAGCTCGAGTGATCATTGATTTCATTTTTATGCACAATTCCACTCACACACGTCGCAGTCGTTGGAGGCCTTGCAGTCAGCACTAGAAGAGTTTCACAGACATAAAGAAATCTTCATTCAGCTGGAAGTGCGGGAAGATTTCAACATACCTAAGATGCACTCCATGCAACACTACGTCGCATCAATAAAGTCGCGCGGATCAGCGGATGGGTTCAACACCGAATTCCCGGAGAGGTTACACATCGACTTCGCGAAAAATGCGTATCGGGCCACCAATCGAAAGGACTACGTTGCGCAAATGACCAAATGGTTAGCTCGTCAAGAAGCTGTGGAACAATTCGACGCTTACCTGGACTGGACACTGAAGAGAATAGATAACGAGGCTGATGATGATGGTGGCGATGCGGGGTTAGAAGGATGTGAGGCAGCCGAAAATCAACAACCGCCTAAACAAGGCACGACAGCTGACTCAATACCCGTGGTAACTCACATTCTAGCATCTCGCCCATCTTTCCGGGCATTGACTGTTCCATTCATCACCCAAACGTTTGGCGGTCTCAGCTTCCTGCCAGCAGTCTCTCAGTATCTGCGTGTCTCGTCACTCCGTGTTCCTGCGATGTCTCATTCAGCTGCACCTGAGCTGTCGCAATGGGACCGCTTTGATGCATATCGGCGTCTCTCGATTCCATACCCCAAAGTGCGAGCTTTGCACATGTCGAAGACCTTGGACAGAATCAGAGCGACACCTTCTACGCCTCCGTCGGGGCGTTCACAAGGCTCACCAGGTCGATTTGACACGGTACTTGTCCGAACAGAAGGGGAGGTTAATGTCCATACACAAGGGACTGCGCTTGAAGGTGAGTTGGCTGGATTCTTCGATATTAATATTGAAACTTACTACTGGGACTGGCAGGTCTACAAGTCGCGCAGGTCCGATTCCTATTCGACCTCCCACCCCACCTGCGCGTTGCCGGCCAACCGTTTCATCTCGCACTCATCGAGTGGTTCAAACCATTTCGTGGGTGCGACAATCTGTTGAAGATGCACAGCGTGTCTCGATCATACGTAGGCCAAGCGCCTCGTGCAGAAGTGATTCCAATCACTCACATTGTAGGGAGTTGCCATTTGATACCGAAGTTTGGTACACACGCAGATCCAACGTGGCGAGCAGATGAGGTCCTGGATGTCTGCAAGACATTCTATGTCAATCCATGGATTGATATCGCAACGTTTTTCAAGTTTCGTGTTAGTTAGATACTATGTATGCATTCCTGAAGCCCAATTTATAGGTGTTGTTTCTACATTACACTAACTTCGTGATTCCGTGTGCAGCAAGCTGGACTTCTAACATTTGTGCTTTCCTAGCCTCTTCGCACCGTCTCGCTTCCGCATCCCAACGCTCTGTGACCAGCCTGCGCATGTAATTCTGCGAGACAACGAGAGGGGCTGGAGTTTGACGGTAGGGTTGGACGGGTGCGTTTCGAACTGGACTTCGAACGGCAGGTGTTCTCGGAGGACTCGGCGGCAGGCTATACTGTGATATTAATACATTACCTGGCTTACAGTGGTAGCAAAAATGTAATACATTAATTGTTGTACTTACAGGCAGTAGCAGGCTGATGTATCACTGTTGTATCACTGGTGAATCCGAAAAAGATGCTTTCATCCAGCCTGTTCCTGGTTCTCTGGGTTCTTTTTGATTGTTCCTCCATTATTTCGGTTGTTCCTTGATTCTTTATATTTGTCAGCTGACAATATTTTCTGCGGTTGGTTATTCCTTGCTTCTTTCTGTGTCAGCCGACCTTATTTAGCCAATATATTTTTATGCATGGTTTTATTTAGCACATTTACCCACGCAGAGGTATGTACAGTTCTTCGGCAGCTCCCTTGTATTACAAATACTAGGGGCCGGCGCTGCCAACTTTTAACCTTGCTCCGGTTGTCAACGCAGTGTAACGGCTTCTCCCGTATTTGGTCTTGTTGAAGTTTCGTACCGTTCCGACGTTTTAATCAGTTTATCAAACATGATCAAAAGCTATTTGGACCAAGCTGAAAACAAGATCAAACGAGCCAAAGCCCAACCTACTAAATTGCTTCAAAAAAATGCTTATCGCATTGAAATCTCATTTTTTTATGTTGTGCCTGCTGTACTGATATTTTCAGCGGTTGGTTATTCCTTGTTCTTTCTGTGTCAGCTGACTTAATGTACAGTTCTTCGGCAGTTTGCGGGTGGCTTGGAGAGTTCCCTTGCATTACAATCGTACCCAAAACACGGTGCAGTCGACACTCAATGAATCTTCCAAATTTTTACCTGCTCTAACCGTCCAGCTCTCAGATCAATATCTTCATTCGGACTCTTGGCTCTTTCTGTTCGGTGAGTAAATATATTGACTTTCGAGTGTTCTGACCAGGTATTATTTGCTTTTCAGTGTTACTTACTGGCAGGACTCTGACGGCCTGGACCCTGCCGTTTTGCATCTTCTAGTACTGCCACCCTCCAGTAATGTCGCCAAGCCACCCACGGCCTCCACTCTCTCACTCACCACCAGCCTAGGCTATTGCGCCATCCACCGCCCTCTCACACCTTCCAAATGCCTCTGCACCTCTGTCGCACAGTGAATTGCAGGCTCACTACTGTACCATTGCGTACATTTCAATTTTCAGTGAATATATCAAACTAACTCAACGCCCACACAGCATTTTTACTTTGTCCAACCGGTGAGGTTTGCAGTCTGAGCTGAGACTGCAAACCTAAGCCGCTCTATGCCAAACACGCTGATCAAGTCCGGTTTAGAGGAGGACCTTTCTGTACTCTTAGTTTTAGTGTCTGTCTGAGCCTACCGGCCATGTCGTATGAGACCTCTCTAAATGATTATTTTACATATTTTCAATCCTTGGTCGCCATTTACACTCAGTGACACTTGTCTCATGCGCAGATCAGAATTTGCCTTGTTTATGTAAGTGCCCGGAGGGCTGTTCTATCAAAATTTCTTTTGATGTGAGTCAGAGACTGGTGCTCGCGCCACCATGATACTGTTAAGCTCAAGACAATTAAATTTCAAGTACATTATTTATAGATGTGTTCAACTAATAATTAACCAATCGCATTGGCGGCAGCAGCTCGAGTGGACTGGAATCTTTGTCGTTTCCCTCGGCCGGAGGAGACAGCCTGTAGCGGATCTGTCTCTCCTGCACGTGTGCATTGAGCCCGTTTCTGGCGCTTTGCCGGACGTTCATCTACAACGTTGCTGGGGTTTTGAGCATCAAGTCCCACCCCAGAAATAAGCTGCAAAGGCCTTGTTCCCAGTGTCACAGGAGTCGTGGGTGCAGCTACTGAGGATGTGGTGATGGGTATGGTAGTTGTGGGTGCAGCTGGAGAGGGTGTGATGGCGGGTGTGGTGGAAGACCTGACCACAGGTGAATGGGTGATGGTAGGCATGTCAACCACCGTGGTGCGAGGTGTGATGACTGACGTGGTACCAACCGACGTGGTTTGAGGCGTAACAACCAACATGGTGTGAGGTGTGATGACCGACGTTGTACCAACTGACGTGGTGCGAGGTGTGATGACTGGCATGGTACCAACTGATGTGGTACTAGGTGTACCGACTGACGTGGTGTGAGGTGTGATGACCGACGTGGCCGATGTGGTTTGAGGTGTGCCAACCGACGTGGTGCGAGGTGTGATGACCGACGTGGCACCAACTGACGTGGTGCGAGGTGTGGTGACTGCTGTGGTACCAACCGATGTGGTACTAGTACTAGGTGTACCGACCGACGTGGTGCGAGGTGTGATGACCGACGTGGTGCTAGGCGACGAGAATCTAATGAAATTGTCGAACTGATAACGAAGGCGGGGAGGAGAACAGACCAATCCCGTGGTGGTGTTCTGGGACTGCATGGATTTGAGGGCATCGTCAAAACTCTCGAGATTTGAATCCAGATTAAGAAATGCGGTGGGGGAAGACATAGGGTCCAAAGTGAGTGGCGCTAGCGGTGGTGGACAGAAGGGTACATAGCCCTCTGGCATGGGGATGATGGGCCTATCCAGCTCTTGGTCGATCTCATTGTCTTGAGGAGCGGGGGGCAGGTGTTGGAAGAAATTCTCGTAGAAGTGCTCTTCAGGTGGCGCAGGAACTACCTCTTCTTGCGCTAAGTGCGTGGGAGGGAAGATAGGTGCCAAGATAGGTGCCAAGTCTGCCTCTTGGGATGTGGGGTTTGAACCATGTAATGTATCAGGCGCTACAGGCATAGGCATTGGAGGATCATCGTTTGTAAGCATATCGTCTGGAGCGGGTGTTTTATTTGAAGTCCCAGCTTCAGCTATATATTATCAGTGAAATGTTTGAAAAAAAAATAGTTGGATACATACGGAAAACATGAGACACAAACTCGTAGTAGGGCAGCATAACATTATCGTTAAACTTCGAAAACGCGTGGTTAAATCGATTACCGAGTTTCGTTGACCCTACATGTAAGCTGCTGACATCAATCGCACCCCCATTTGATGGGTCAGGGCCACCAAGGAGGACGCTGAATGTCCATCCTGTGGCCTCATGAAGCTCTCCGAAGAAAGTTGAGAGAATTTCTGTAAGTCTCGGTATAATTCTGTCTTCAATCAGCAAAGGAACAGGCATGAAGATAACACTTACAGATCATTGGTCACCTCAGATGATTTCCTCCCCTTCGCCGCCTCGCGCGCTGCTTCCCTCATCTCTCTCGTAAGTTGAGAGATTTCCTCTTTCACCTCAACGGACTCATTCTCCCAGCAGCGGTCAACATGCTTTCGGATCACCCGAAGGTTCGTCTTCTTGGGATCGGGGACGTCAGGTTGTTCTTTGATGGCTTTTAGCTCATCTTTAACGCTGGCCTGGACTCGAGTAGTATAATACTTTTTAGCGTAGACTTCGCTTTCCTTGAGAGGACGTTTCCGACCAGCTGTGGGTCCCTTAACGATATTGCTGAGAAGTTTGTGGACAGCCGAATTGCCCGCTGCAGCCGCTTTGCGGCCAGGCTTTGAATTACCATAATCATTACGGAATTTGACCGTCAGGCGCTGGATGCAATGTAAGTCCCCAATACCATGCATGAAAAATAAGAAATAGACCTTCTGAAGTGCGGCTTTGAATTTTTCGTTCTCCTCTAATTGAGCCGCAGTGAGAACTTGATCCATAGGAATACCTGGAAACAAGGAAGCCCTCGCGGGCCATCGTTCCTCCCATTGTTCGAAGAAGGGTTGCCAAAAAGTGGTATAGTTCCCCTTCTTTTGGCATTCGAGGTAATCATCCTCAAAAGTTGCGATGAAGGCCAGTTCCTCCTGCATCAGCCATGTACGCGGCGCCATCTATTCGTGTTACATTTAGCATGCCATCACATATGACTATAATTAATTAAATCCATTTCGTCATAACATACCTTTTTTTTGGTTCCGTACGCGTTGTCACTGTTTGATGCCAAGGTTAATGCGTAATGCCAATACAGTTTTCCAAGCTCGGAATTTTCCGATTGTCACCGAGCGCTCTGATTTCAAAAGGTGTTGAATCAAGTTCTATACTACCTAGTTGTATTTTGGGCTACTAAGGAATAACATTGTGTTGGGTAAGTTGATGATGTAGTCTATGCTGTTCATGCGCTTCAACTAAGGAGTCTACACCTAACATGGCATGACTAAACACGTCTTCTAAGTCAGCCAGAACCCTGCGCACATGAGACACAGAACTATGTGCCCGACTGAGGTCCTGCCCTGTCCCACATTCCTCAAGAACATCGTTTTCTACAGTTTGCGCACGCATAAGGAGGTCTTCCAACCCATTGTGAGCAGACCGCAGGACGTCCAACGAATCTGGCTTATCCGGGTTTGCTATGAAGAGCTCACAAAGGCCCTCAACCAATGCTGTGCTTGACGATGACCCAATAAGGACCTGCAGGCTGGCATCGATGTCATCGCATTGCCTTGCCCTTGATCGAGATCATTTAGCCTTATGAACTACTGCCGAAATGAAATAACATACCATTTGTTTTTGCGTTTGTTGTGTGCATCTCGTACTGAGCGTGCCGGTTTGAGGCTACTGGTATTGTCCAAGCTGGGCGATCAGGTAAGTGACAATATTATAGTTGTGCGAGAAACATACGCCTTTGAATTTGATTTGTTTTGATATTTGATACGGATCTCCTCACGGTTACTAGGTATAGAATGTTCAATGGTTTGAGACATTGATATTTCAATGACATACCGAGCATAATAGGCTTTCCGGGATCGGCGTGCAGCTTCAATTTTCTCCTCAGCTGTATGGTGTGAGCGTGGCCTTCCTACAGTGACAGGCCTATCACACAGCCTAGAACTTAGGTGACCTCGAGTCAGATGTTCAGATATTCAAGTGGCTGGTATGTATCTTACCTATCTTCCTTCCCCTTGTATATCTCCTTTTTTTTGCGCACATAGCTTATCGCGGTGACTGTAGTATCAGTGGGTCCACCATCATTAAGAGAAATAACAATAAAGTGAGTGAAGTACCGTGCATAGTAAGCTCGTTTATAAGCGCGTGCAGCTTCTGCCTTTTCTTCTTTAGTGTTGTGTAGACGTGGTCGTGCCATGTGCATAAAAGTGGGTTGAAAGTAAGCCAGTTGAGGCACTCAATATATGCGTAGGAGTTTTGAATGGCTTCACGTAGGAGATTAATTTGGATTTTTATGCGAATTTATCCTACCATTCTCTTACCATCCTTCAAAATTGAACTCTACGAATATCATGCCTACAGTGTAGGGTTTATATCTTAAGTTTAATGTTCTTGATAGGCATGGCGCTTGTATGCTCTCATTAATGTAATACTTGTTTGCAATATGTTTTGATCAGACGAAGCACACCGACATTCAAGAAAAACCGTTCATTTTGCGACAGCTATGGACATACACAAAATTCACTAAATAATCATGTGCTACAAGGCCTGTGAAGCATCACCGCGATCAATTGCACCCTTCACGATGTTTATCCCTTGCTCGATGGAATCCACCTTGTGGTAGATGGCTCGAGAGACACCGAGCACTTTGGGACCGGTTGCATCCCTACAATGAAGAAATGAGCTACTAGACATGAGAAATTCGGAAAATCCAGCTCACCAGCCTGAAAAGATGCCGATGTAGCGACCTCGAGTCACATAATAGAGCGGCGGGGTGGCATCAACTGGGACATTGAAGTAGGTATCGCGGTAAGGGAATCAATGTGGAATCATTCGCAAGTGCACAGCTGCAGCAGCCGCATCTTCGTCATCAGAGGAGTCGTTTTCCTCGTAATCGACATAGACAGTGACATTGCCCTGCAGGAACAACCACAGGTGGGGCAGCAGCATGTGCAGTTGCGGGGGCCAGAAGTAGGAGTGGTGCCAGCACTATGGGCAGCAGCTGCGCCAGGAGAGAAGCAAATGGTGCAAGCTCCCTGGGAATGTCAATGGTTGTAGCAGGGGGGTCATCAGAGACAGCGGGAAAGAGCAGCCAATGCCATTTCGGTGCTGCCAGCGGGTAGGCCCAGGCCCATTCTGACGGTGATGTTATCTGTAAACATTGCCGAAGCTACATGAGTAATGAAATATAAAAGAATCACCGGATTCACATGGATGTATAACCACTCGGTGCCCGTGTCCGTGCCAATGTCTAAGGCCTGAGATAGTGTCTTTTGATCGTCGAGGGAAAGACACTGGAGAAGATTGATGAGACCGTCCAGTCGGACAGATACCATGGTATCTGTCCGACTGGAGGAAGGCAGTTTCTGAGTCATGGAGGAGTTTAAGTGAGTACCTTGAATAGATAGATAATGTATCACTCACCACGTTCTGAATTTATACTCCATAGGCCGGCGGGGTCGGACGTCCAAGAAATGGAGGATGGGATGACTTCCTTGGATTTGGGAAATGGGGCGGATCACTGCAAAGTGCCAGATATTAGTAATAATCCACGTGGCACCAGCTGACTAATCTTGGCAAATCCATCACAGCTTCCATCAACATCGGAATCGGGGATCATCAATCACTGATCGATCGCGCTCAAGCTCTCATGTATGGTCCTAGCAGGTAAGTGGATTCTCTAGTACTATCCACCAATCTTCTAAGCTTGCCCGACACCCCGAGTACCAGAAACCATTTCCCGCGGCTCACAATTCCCGTTCGATTCTTCTCGCAACGCAGATTACGTCGCGTTGTCCACAGCATGTGGCCCTTGATATTCTGCATCAAGGTCAGTCATAGTGCATATTACGTGCACAGCTGACTTACCCCTCGAAGAATCAGCATCTCCACCGTCAATTTGGCATGCATGCTGTCGGTTAGCAAAATGTGAACATTCGACCCGGGCCACAACTTCTGGTGAAGAGGCCACATGTGGTCGAAATCAATAAGCATGGTCTGTACGAATGTGATCGTCTCATCTGAGGTAGGAGGCCACTGCATATACTGTGGTATATGATCTTTCAACCAGTCCTTCTGCACAGGCGTGAAAATCGGCCCTCTGGTTGGGGTTCGATTATATCGCATTATGTATGAACGAATTTCCGAAGACACATGTGCTGGGGGCGGATTGTGGTCTGTTTTTGAATGTCAGGTATGTGGCAAGATATCACTATCAATGGGCTCACTTCGACGGGGGCGCAACAAGTATTCAACGGTTGCCGGTGGGATGGCATTATCATTCAATGGTGTTACCATGATTCACGAGGTGGGTGAGGAGGGACAAATTTGTCCATTATTATATACTGGCGGGATCCTCCAATTACAAATGGAGGATCCTCTGACTACCCGACTGAGCTGACAGATTAACCACAGTGCACAATGCCCCGTGGTCGCCCCCCCAAGAGGCCTGCACTTGAACGGGAGGTTTTTGTCCCCGTCTCTATCAACCCCGAACCTCATCTTTTACGACTTCGTGCAGCAGAGATTACCACTGAAGGGAGCACACGGCTGCAAACACACTATGTTGCTGGAATTCCCCCCGAAAATTCATCAAATGACAACATATTTTGGATAGATGACCGCGTTGAGCATCCCAGCGACTGTCAATTTGAGGACGAAACACTTACAGACGACATTGTTGATATTTGTTCCACGGAGAAGCGCAAAGAGACTGCGGCAGTGGGTGTTCTCATTTGATATTCGTTTGGGCATGCTAACTTATTGGACTTAAGGACAGACCTTTGCTCGCCTGGATTGGACAACGTCAAATCTTCCTGGACGAAATGCTGCGCCTCAATGGACGCGGGACTGAAGGTGTCACTTGCTCATGTGGTGCAGTATCGCCTCAATTCCGATGCTGTGACTGCCATGGCATTCAAATATTCTGCCGTGAATGTACACTTCAAAACCACGTTCTTCATCCTTTGCATAGGATTGAGGTGTGTTTCATACTTATTTTGGCATCAACGTATGACTGATCCTTGTCAGATATGGAATGGGACTTTTTTTCAGCGTATCACACTCAAACAGCTCGGGGTTCGGGTACAACTAGGCCATAACCCAGGAGAAAGGTGCTACAAACCTTCTCCCGCTGCCGGTGATGATTTTGTGGTCATCGCGCTCGATGGTATTCATGAAATCGCCCTGGACTTTTGTGGCTGCGCTTCGGCTCAGATTCGGTATAAACAATTGTTACGTATGCGGTGGTATCCAGCCACAGTCTCAGAGCCTCGAACTGCAGCAACCTTTACGGTTCTGCAGCATTTTCATATTCTATCCTTTGAAAGCAAGGTGTCTGCTTACGAGTTCTACCAGTCGCTCGCAAGGCACACCGACAATTCAGGGTTAGTAGCGATCAGGGTGAGTATTTTAATTTATTCCTGCAACTGTCTGATGATGATATATTCTAGGATCGTTATTCCGCTTTCATGCGGATGGTACGCCAATGGCGTAACCTCAAGCAACTTTCCCGCGGAGGAAGGGGACACGACCCCGCTGGTGTCAATGCTACTGCCGAAGGAGAGTTAGCTGTTCTCTGCCCCGCGTGCCCACAGCCCGGGAAGAATCTTCCACTAGACTGGGAGAAGGAGCCTCTATTTACCAGGTAAGATGTTGGTCGTCTTTCCCTGATTTTGCTGAGCTCACACGTTATCTGAGCAGATGGAAATATGCGCTGTTTGTTGCAATCGATGCGAACTTTAGATTGAAGCGCAAGGCGGTGTCTTCTGACACTGCTGACCCTAGCCTTAATGCTGGATGGGCGTATTTTGTGCACGAAGACTCATACAAATCTTACCTTGCAGATCGTGCTTCCGACAAGCAAGAGGTAAGTAACATGTTTTCAATGATAATTCTCAACTTAGACTTTTTCTGTAGCGAAGCACGTGTGTAAGCCACAATGCAGTTAACATGGCGGATACCAAGTCCTCCCGTGGGCTTGCTGCAACAGGAGTTGGGACGATCGACTGCGCAAGGCACGATATGAAGCTCCCAAACGGAGTTGGAGACCTGCAGAAGGGTGAACGGTATGTATTATATTGCATTTGGAATGTTTTAAGGCTGATGTTACTCAGGTACATTAATATGGACTATATCATGTGTTCTGCGCTCTTCATCCTCGCGATGTCCATGATCAACATATCCTACGACATCGCCTGCCAGTGGCACAAGAGACTCTGGACTCGAATGGAAACGATGCCGGAACGACTTTCTCCCCCCCGCGAATCTTCCCTCATACGTGTTTTTGTGCCGAAGTTCCACATCCAGGCCCACATCGATAAGTGTCGCACCAATTTCTCTTTCAACTGGTCGAGGTACGTGGGCCGAACAGATGGCGAAGCCCCTGAACGGGGCTGGTCCAATATAAACCGAGTGGCATCAAGTACCAAGGAAATGGGACCGGGAGCACGCCGGGACACTCTTGACGATCACTTCGGTGATTGGAACTGGAAAAAAATTACAGCATTAGGTGAGCGGTTTCTTTCTTTCAGTCTCAAATTCTGACATAGACTTAGGGCGGACATTGCATAAGAAGATGATTGAAGCTGTAAAGTGGACGAAGGAGCACTCCGAAGCCCTCTCGGAACTGGAGAAGACTATTCAGCCGGCTCTTATCGCGCAGTGGAAGGCAGAGGTGGAATCCTGGGAGGAGGATAACTCCTCTCCGAACCCCTTTGAAAGCCGGTTTAACCGTAAGTGATTCCTGGTGTTTTTGCAGTGGTTGTTCTAATAAATGGTAGCGGTTACACAGGCATCCGTACGACTACAACTCACTGAGCTTGAAGCTCAAGACCTTCAAGCTGGAATCAATGTCTCACTTCACACCGATGTCTCTCCAAGCGGATTGATTACATCGGGCATGGATCTCGAGGATCAACAGTAAGTTTTGTATTCATTGTTACACTACGCCATACTGACAGTTCTACAGGGCACGCTTAAGATCCAGTCTTGCCAATGTGTCCCTCCACGACACCGACAATCAGAAGGCCATAACACAAACTCAAATCGCCTCCCTCCAACGACGGCTTGATGCCTGGGCCCGCATCCAGGAGCTATACATGCCGGTTGTCTGTCAACTCCGGCATCGATCATCAGAGGCTAGTGGGAGGCCACAGGAACTCAAACCTGAAGACTTCAACCTGTGGCTCCCTTCGCAACTTCCAGCTGGCACCCCCGTAGACCTGACGCTCGCTGGCCACGAGTGGGAGCTACGCTACGCGCAGGCCCTCGATGCCCTGAACGAAGTTCGTTCCCACCTCCGGCTTCGATCCCACATGTACAAGTACAAGGATAAAAATGTCCGTGGTCAAGCGGGTTCCACTCGCGCCAAGAAAATCATTGATGCCGTGGAATCGAGGAAGCACGCCAGTGTATTGAAGTACAGACGTGCGCGCAGTGCCCTGCTGTCTCTTGGCCACCGTCTGGAGAAGTGCGGTTGGGAGCTCACCATGCGCCCACTTCTTGACTCCGATGTTAAGCCTATGGGTGACATGGAGCAGCAAGGGAGAGGAACCATCTCCTGGATTTGGTTAGACTCCCGTGCTGATAACAGCTGTACAGAAAATGAACGCATACAGGATTGTAAGTGTATGGTATGTTTTACTCACATTTATCTGACATTTTGATAGGTGTCCGCTTGGAATGGTGCAAGGCTCGTGCCCGCGCACACCGGTGGTCGGAGGAGGTGGAGTTATTGCTAGAAGAGATGAGACGAGTGCTGGTGTTTTTGAGATGGCAAGGGTCCTGGTGGAAGGAGCGCATAACTCTCCGAACGCTCAACTCAGCACCTGCACAAGAGGGACTGTCAGCGTACGCGTGTCGCCAGTCTGCACTGCGTGTGCTGCTGATAGCCAAGTTTCAAAGGCTGTGGAGTGATGTGCCTACCCTTGTCTCTGGTGGTGTCCTGATTCCAGAGAGCGGAGAGGTAGATACACCTACTATTGACGCTCCCTTGCAGTTATAAATATACATATATCGCGTGATTGTTCTTAATATTAACGCGGGGAAAGAAGCAACGCTGGAGAATGGTAAGGGCGGAGATCACAGATCGCAGAATGCCAAAAACGAGACCATCTATGATGGATCTCAAGTCACATACCATAGATCTCAGATGAATCAGCTAATAGCGCTTGGAGCAGGGAACTAGAGGGAGCTGCAGGTGTAATAGATTCATATATCACTGGGAGCTATGGCAGTGAGCAACTATTGTATCACATTTACACTACACTACCAGTGAGTAATATATCAATACCACGGCTACTGGTGTCGGCGGATTCATGTCGGCAGCTGCGGAGTCGCTGAAAAGAAGTGGGGAGGGAGAGTTATCCAGGCGCTTCTGGATTACCTCCAATGGAATCCGCCGTTTGAGTTCTCCGAGTCGTTTGGCCCTGCAAGATCAGTGACGTTGGTAGCGGCAGCAACATTATTCAAGCGTGAGGGTACTGTACCTTTTAAAATGTGTATCTCCGAGTCCACCAGTCTCCGATGGTGAACGCAGACTATAGAAAAGTCAGTGGGCGCATGGTGAGTTTTTTGTGGTCCTTACCGCTTGTTCAGCGAGGACATGTTTGCTTTCAAAAACTTAACGAGGTACAGTGAGTCAGTCATTTATATTGTTTAATTGTTTTGCTTACATTGGTGTCTACAAACCTACATGTCCTACAGACGCCTATGTAGGATGGGCTGTCTAAGTAGGTATATAGGTAGTGCTCGCCTCATAGATTTTTGCATTTTCCTGATGAGGGCTTCTCTCGCTTCCCGACTTCCCCTTTGTTCTCC